TCTTAGCTAGTGTTTCTTAATGCTGGGTAGTAATGAAAAAAACCCCAAACTTCTTTTGGGTTTGCATAGATATAAATGGCTATTTCTGTCCAAATCCAGAGGGTGGTTGTCACGTGGTTTTATGCTGACCATCTTAAAGTCCTCTGATTTAAGGGAGGAGAACAGGGGATTCTTCTGTTGTGAGTCATCCTATATCAGAGCTTGATCCTGCTCCTACTGATGGTGGCAGGAGTTTTGCCATTGAGTTTATTGATTGAATGGCTTCTCAGTTTTATAGCGAGCTACTGTTTTAATTTTTAAGTCATTCTAAGAGCCATGAAGGGCATCTCACGTGCCCCTTATGTGTTAAGGAAGAAGGTCACTCATTTAGCTTGGCTCTACTGAGTCAAAAGCATCACTAAAATATCTTGTAAGCTCATTAACTGCTCTTCTAGATAGTATTTGTTAAGAATGAACAGTGTTCTAAGTGTATGGCTAATCACCAGTGGAAAGGAACCTTTTAACATACAGTCTTCAAAAGGAAAAATAAAACCATAGCAGTGAAAATAGCAGAACCCTCTACAGGCACCATTTGCCTGTGCGTGCCTGAAAAGCTTTATTTTGGATGTTGTTAACATAGAAGAAAATTATAAGATTTTCAGAGGCAAAACTTTGAATAAAAATGGACATTGCCAGAGTAAAATGAGGTCTGTACCATGTCAGAATACATACCTTCTCCCTCGGGGCATTTCAGTGGATTGAAGAAAAACTTGAAAACCAAACGTGTTTAAGGGAGTCTGGTCCTGCTCTCACAGTGGGTGTCTGTTTCTTGCCCTTTGCTGCAAGGCTTGTAATGTTTGAAGGTTTGTAATTGTTTTTAAAGCACAGCTGCTTTCACTGGAATTTTAAAAATGAAGGGAGTTGTGTTACTCTGACAGATCAGTGCTGTGTGATCTGTCTGTCTGCTGGGATCTCAGATGCCTGAGGTAGTTCCTGAGCTGGGGAAAAAAAAAAAAAAAGTATGTAAGAAAAGCCTTGGGAATGGACTCCAGCCTCTCTTGGCATCTCCAGGACTTAGAGGGGAAAGCTGCAGCCTCCATTGTCTGCAGCTTCTCTTGGGAAAACACAGTGACTCCTCCAAAGCACGTTGGGGCCTCTGTGTCCAAGGGGAGTTCCAGCTCTCTTGGCTGTTCAGCTGAAGCTTTTTTAGTTGGTTGTCTGTGCTCAGATCACTTGAGGACGTTTGGTCTCGGGAGGTGGAGATTTCTACATGGGAGACTGCACTGAGCTGCTGGAATGCATCACACATTATCCACCAGATGGATGTGGTCTGTGTTTGATAGTGATGTGTGAGCTGACGTTTGGGGCATGCAGGTACCTTGTGACTGTCTTGCTGGTCGGCAGCTTGCTCTGCAGGTCTTGGAGGAGTCAGCGTGCTCTGAGGAGATGGGGGGCTGGCAGGAGCAGCAGTGGGTGACTCCAGCTGGGGTTCTGTTGGTTTGCTGCTTTAAAACCTGAAGGTGGGTTTCAGTTAGGCAGCTGCTTTCAGCCATGGTGGTGTTCAGGGGAACTGACTTTTCATTGACTTTGGAATCTGGAGCAGTGTGTAAGTGTCATCCTCAGCTTCATGCTGATTCCTCTCCACTGAGGCTAAAGTAATTTCACTTAAAACCACCTCAGGCTGGACTTGTGCTTTGCTCCCATGGGAACTAAAAATAATAATTATTTTAAGAATAGGTTCTTAATCACTTCCTTCTTTTGACGCACTATTTTGTTTAGCATTTTGTAAGAATGTAATAGAAAATATTTTAAACCATTTGTGTTCTAATTCTCATTTTAATTGGCGCTTTGAAGGTGCAAGGAGTGTACAAGAACTGATTACAGTTCCTTTTAGTATTTTTGTAGGAAATCGTTTGTTCTTGTTATTCTGAGTGAAGATTATTTGAGTTCTGTTGCTTTGGCAAACTGTCCAGTCATACAGAGCTATGAAGAGATGAATTTTAAGTTGACAGATTTCTTAGTCAAAGGCTTAGTCAAAGGGTGTTTTATCAGTGTTGGGGATCTCTCAGCATGTTCTTCTCCTGTCCCAAACCTGTTAATGCACATGTGAGAAACAGAAAAAGATATGCTTTAATCTGGGTTTAGAAGGAGTGATAAGACAAGGTACACAATGGTTCTGAGGCAGAGCTGGCTGTGCAGTGAGCACTGTGAAGGTGGTGAGATAGTTTGCAAAAATGGGGAAAATATTAAAGAAATGGAGATCCACTGGCCCACAGCAGTTGGGTACAGCGAGATAAAATACTCAGTTTGGAGATCTTTCCTTAAGCTGAAAGGGTCTTGAAACTTAGGAGTTTGGGAGATGTATTTCAAAGAGTGGCATATAGGTGCACAACACCAAAAAAAAAAGTTAAATAAAAATTCAGAAGGGCTTTCCTAGACTTGAGTGAGCATACAAAGTGTGGTTGTAGCAAGTATCTCGGAGCCCAGTTACAAAGAGTAAAACAAATACATTAATAATTGCTTTTCCTACTCCTTGCTAATAAAGTCCTTGCTAAAATTTTACATATATTACTGTTAATTCCAGTCAGTGAAGTTGCTTTCTCCAGCAAGTCTGCTTGCCTTAGAGGGAGCCAATGTTCTATCTTGTGTACCAAATTTTCTATGTGTTTTATTTCTCAAGCACCAGAGTCCCAAAGGCTGCAGCAGAAGCACCCTGCAGGGCTCAGCAGAGAGCATGCACCCCAGAGGGACAGCTGGGCATGGACTGGGGTGAGCCCAGGGCTCCCCAGCTTGCCACTTACCTGCTGCCTTGGTGCTGAGGGTTGTCCTTGCACTATCATTGGTATCTGGTCTCTACACCTGCTTCCCCCTGCATGCAAAAAGCCTAACAGTTGGTTTTTAAAGGGGGAGAGAGGGGGAAATCTTTTTACTGTTGGGCAACGACTCATCTGCAGGTGATTTAACTGTTCCTACAACAGACATTATAGGTAGTAGTAGTAAAATTGAAGGAGCAGAGCTGGTTTGTCCTTATCTGTTGCTTGGCTGAGGTCTGTTACTGCTACAGTTGTGGAAATACCTGAGTGGGAAGAACAGTTGTGGTGCTAGCAAGGGAGAAAAGAAATTATGAGCCAAATACTTGAAGAAAGTGGTAGTTTAATATCATGCTATTGGCAGCTCTGGCCTTCTGGCTTCTTTAGTGCAGGCCGTGAGGACTTTTCACTTGTTTATAGTATTATAAATTTTATTACAAGTTTTCTTTAAAAAAAAAGCTACTATCAGGAGGTTTCCCAGACTAAGTAAGAAACTGGGAGTGAGCAGTTCTCCAGCTTCAGGCCTGTCTCTGCCTGGCCTTGGGCAACTCAAGGGAAGGGCCTGGCACTTCTGTAGATGTGCTTCCTATTCTCATTGGGATTTTAGAGCAGAAATGTAAAACAGGGACTTTAAGGGAAGAATAATTCATCTCTTTGAGTTCATTTGAACTGGCTGTGTGACAGCAAACTGCCAGTGCCCTAGAACAGGCCAGTTCTGGTCCCTCTCTCTAGTGCCCCTGCATTTCATGGCAGAAGTCACTCCTGACTGACCAGGCATTTGGTGATCTTCTCTGAGAGGGCAAAGTGTTTAGGATCATAGAATCATAAATGCTTTGGGTTGGAAGGGTCCTTTAAAGGTCATCTAGTCCAACACCCCTGCAGAAAGCAGGGACATGTTTAACTAGGTCAAGCTGCTCAGACCCTCATCAAGACCGACCTTGAATGTCCAGGGGTGGGGCCTCCACCACCTCTCTGGGGAGCCTGTTCCAGTGTTTCACCACCCTCACAGTAAAGACGTTTTGGAGGCGACGTTGCTGCAGTTGCTCGTGTGTGTACTCTCCACTGCAGAACAGCTTCACCTCTTGGCCTGGTGCTCCTAATGTCTCAGGAGGAACCTGCTGCCTTTGCACGTCGTGTATGGGTTGTGGCTTGGGTTGCTGGTCCACTTCCCTTGTAACAAACACTTTTACAACAAACAGTGTCAAGAGAGGTAAACTAGGAGGGTGTATGGCTGACCCCATGAAAAATGGGAGGGAGAACCCAGGAGAGGCACAATACCTCCACTTTAATCTGTGGCTTGATATATATGATGTTGTGAATGTTTCCTACTTCCTCTGCTTCGTCAGTAGCAAGGATTAATGATTCATAAAGGTGTGTTTCAGGGGCTGGGTAGTTTGTGTTTATACAGTGCTTTACTCCAGTCCCAGTTGCAGCTTCCTTTTTCCTTCTGTCTCCTTCCTCCCCCCCAAGATTGTTCATACATAAGCCATTCCTCTTTGCAGCCTTCCCTTTCCTTGGAGAAGTTGCATTTTCTAGCCTGTCAGTGATCTGTTGTGCCCAGCTGGGTTTACCAGTGTTATAAAGTTGGTGGGTGATGGTTTTTCTTGGGCCAGAACTGGCATTTCATTCTTCCTTTCCAGTGTTACCAGTCTGGAAAATCAAATGGAACTGTGGAAGTGAACTTGTGTTGACTTCATCCAACTCCTCAGCAGAATCTAAACCAAAGCTCTATGTGGCCAAATGTACAAAAAACATCTAGGCCAGGTTTTTGGCTTAATTTTGATCAGTCTTGTTCTCAGTTAATGGGCTGGTATTTTAGAAGGTGTGATACAGGCAAGGACAAAAGTGTGGGTGGAAATGGGTTTCCTGCTGAAGATACTTGTGAGACCAGTTTTGATGGTTGTTAGCAGGCAGATGAGAACATGGAGTCTTGAAAACTGGGTTCATCTCTGGCACCTAGATCAGTAAGTTGTGGACAACGTATGGCAGAAGTCGTCACTGGCCAAGTGTGGCCTGTTGTACTTTTTTCTGTTGACAGTTTGGCAGTTTTAGGGGAAGTAAGTTGTGGACAACGTATGGCAGAAGTCGTCACTGGCCTGTTGTACTTTTTTATGTTGACAGTTTGGCAGTTTTAGGGGGATGCTTTGTCTTGAAAGGAGTGGGAAGAGGAAAAATGGAAACCAAAATGATTTGTGGTCTGTTTTGTTTCAGTGGAAAGCTGGTTTCACCAAAATGGAAAAATTTTAAAGGCTTGAAACTTCAGTGGAGAGACAAAATCCGTCTCAATAACGCCATCTGGAGGGCTTGGTACATGCAGTGTAAGTACCTGCGCGCTTGACTCGCTTGCTACAAAACGTTTTCCAAGAGATATAGATGTAATACTCAAAAGAATTGAAGTTGCTGTCTAATGAATAGCTCAAAAAATCTCCTGGGGGCCAGATGTCTCAGAGGCTGCCATGGCAGTGCCATTGGGCCAGTGCTTGCGTAGAGGTGCCCGCTCAGAGGCTGTACCGAGCCATCCCCGCGCAGCCTGACATCTCCCTGTGTCCTCTTGGTTATCTGGAAGGAATAACTAGATTTGTTTTTCCCATCTGGCTGTTGAAGTGACAGAGCTCTCTGCAGAGCCTGCACTTGCTGAGCTCTCACGTTTTCATTCTTGTTTCAGACCTGGAGAAGCGCAAGAACCCGGTGTGCCACTTTGTGACTCCTCTGGATGGCTCTGTTGATGTGGATGAACATCGCCGGCCAGAGGTCTGTAAAACCTGTGCCACAGACCAGTCAGCTCCAGAGTTTATAACAACATTTTCTAGCTTTCTAAACAAAAAAGCAGCGTAGAAATTCTTTACTCTGTTGTCTTTATCTAGAAGGTACTATTAATATAAAGCAGACTGAACCCATTTTTGCAAGTGTATCCCATTAAGAGGATCAAGGTGCCACTGGAAGGACATTTATTATCAATGTAACTTATGACTATGTTCTGGTTTAGTGAATTGTTAGTCATAGAATCTCAGTTTAAATAGTTAAGTTTATAACAGCCACTGCTCTCTGGCTGGAGATGGCCCAAATCAGTGGGAAATCAGAGTGATGACTCTTCAGGATTGAAGCTCAGTGACCCTGCGAGAGTTTTCTGTATTTTATTTAACTGATGAGCTGTGGTTTCAAGACAGCAAACAATTTCTCTTTCTCTGTCAGGGTGACTTCACAGAAAGAGGGAATATGAGTTTGCATACTTTCAGTTTTGTGCTCTTCAAAACATAATGAAAACTAATTTCTGCACTCTGGCTCCTCACAGAAAGCCAGCAATGTCCTTGATGTGGCAAAGTGTGACACTGTCTGTACTGCATAACTATTTTATAATCAAAGGATTTCCAGTGTGTTTGCAGAACTGCATGATGTTTTTGAAAGAACAGTGTTGATGTCTGTGTTGGAAGATGACCCTCAAACACGAGAAAGTTGTGTTAAGGCTCTCATTAGTCTACTGTTGCCAATTTAGACACTGCTGTCTGTGACATGTTAAAGGCCTGCATTGTTCTGATCCTTCTGTTGCTCTTGATATGTGGCCTGCAAGGTCACACTTATCCCTGAGGTGGACATCAAATTTCTCTTGCTTTGTGTCATTCTTAACAGCTTGTGTGAGTGTGTTCAGGTAACCTTGTGAAAGTCTCTTTGCTTCTTTTCTGCAGGGCAGATTTTATGCACATTTTCACACTTTATTTTAGTGAACTCATATTAAAGTTGGGTGTGGTTTTTTTGTGTTGGTTTGTTTTTTTCCCCTCCATTTCCTAACTATTGGTTACGGTTGAGCTGATGTGGGAGATGCTGACGGTGCAGTCAGACATCATCTCTTGTTTGTTTATTGTGGGAAAGATGAAGTTAGTACTGCCAGATTTGCCCTGTGATAGCTGGACTCTGGGATAGTGTGGGCTGCTGATACTTGAGCTCAAACAGAATTAACATGTTTTCTTTTGCATTTTTTATGCCTCAATATTTGCTTGGAAATTTATTGAATGTCCAGCCGTTATGTGACTCTGTGTAATTCATGGTATGTGTTTGTGTTCTCAGGCCATTGCAACAGAAGGGAAATATTGGAAACGAAGAATTGAAATAGTCATCAGGGAATACCACAAGTGGAGAACTTACTTCAAGAAAAGGGTCTGTTGGTTTACCCAGTGAAAGTAGCTTACTTGAACTGGATCAGTATGTGTGGATCAGTATATGGATCAGTATGCTTTTAGAGGTTTTATACCTCTTTTGCTAGCATGCAAGAATATTTAAAACAGATGATAAGCTAATACAGGCATACTCATCTGATTGGGCCCACTAGAAAATATTGTGCATGACTGGATATTAAAAGTTTTGCAGAGGCAGGTCTTCTACTGGCATACACAGGACCTCTTCTGACTGTAATGTCTGTTTTGTTCTCCTTTTGCAGCTGCAGAAACATAAAGATGAAGATCTTTCAAGTTTGGTCAGGGTAGGTAATAGCCCTGATAAGTGGCAGCATTTATGTGTGTAGAAGCTGCAGTAAGTAACAAAACTGTAACATGCAGTAGCTTGCATTGATTAAAATCTAAAGACAAGCATCATGCTTAAGCCTTAATTAAGGTTAGACACCTTAATGTTTCTGTGCCTTAGGGAGCAATGTAAGATTTATATCTTAAATTGGATGGGGGAGAGGTTGAATGTGAAGTGCTGTGACAGAAGAAATGAGAATCAGTATTGGGTGCCCAGAAAAATCAATCTCTTTGAAGACTGGCACATTTTTTCAGCTTATTACTGGGTTGTAGCTGGCACTACTGCCTTGCTTGTGTAAGTGGATCTGGGAAGACGTGTGTGCGGCATGTTGCAGATCTTCCTGCTGCCTACAACGTGGGCAGATAATGGGCCAGGATCCTAAAGAAACCAAAATGTCCAAAGGAAGAATGGTATTGCTGTTTAGTATGTCCTGTATGAAAAGCAGAGGCTGTGTTTGTCTGTCTGCACCAGACTGCTTTAGTGTTTTCTAGGTAGCCTGACTTTTCTTCCTTTCCTTTGGCAGGATGATGATATGGTTCTCTGGCAAAAGAGAAGGTATGGCAGAGAAACCCCTGTCCCCATGGAGGAAGGCAGCCTCTTGGATGCAGATATGCTTATGTCCGAGTTCACCGACACGCTCTTCTCCACTCTGTCTTCACATCAGCCTGTTTCCTGGCCAAATTCCAGGGACATAGGTATTTGCTGGCTGTTAGCTCTGTTGCAGTGGGAACCTGTAGAAGTCTGGTTTGTTGCTTCGCTGTTCTTCTAGTCTTGCCTAAGAAATTTATCTTGCTTTGCTGCTACAGATAAAAACAGGTCAGAGAATGTAGCTGTCGTACCCTTTATAGCTTATAGGATCCCTGTTACTCATCCAAATTTAATTTTTGTCTTAGCTTCTTAAGTGCTGCTCCTAGCATTGCCCTCTGATGTTGCTCTGAATAAAATAAATCTGTAATGAGCAGTATTTACCTTTATCAGTTCTGCAGACATCATTATTCATCTCAAAGCATGTACCTGTGCATGTGTTTTAAAGGGAATGCCTGTGTATTTTTCTTTGGATATGTCCCTTAGAACAAGTGCAACTCACATCTTCTGTAAAGACAGTCCCAAGAGCTACACAGCTCTGTTGAATGCTCTCAAACTGGTGGCTCTGACTGTCTGAAGAGACAGCAGATGTCCACTATGCATCATCCTTGCTGCATGGATGTCCCAGCTGTCTGAGCAACTCCACAGCAGCTGTGGTTTACATGAAGTGTACTTAAGGCAAAAGAAAACGGATGAAGGTTTGTTTTCAAACACTCTGCTATGAGCCGTGGTGGTTCAGGTTATGCTTCTTAGCAAGTTCATGTTGTACAGCAGAGACAAGAGAGGAGGTCTGGGAGCAGGAGACATCCAAGCCTGGCAATCCCCAGTTTTTAGTTAGAGCCTTCAGGTTTCACCTCTTCCATTTTACTAGTTGAAAGTTTCATTCCCTAGTAGTTTTGATTTCAGAACTGTGCTGTAGTTCTGAAGAAAACCAGATGCTCAGTTCTTTTCAGCAGCAGTTTTTCTGTGCCTATTCTGGCCAAGCCTGGCTGTGGAGTGTGTGTTGGTGTTGTAGCCAGGTGCTATGTTCCTGCTGCTGTTGCTGTGTGAGTGATGTGAAGTCATCTAATCTGTCTTCTGAATTTTGCAGCACACTTAGGAAATGCTGACATGATTCAACCAGGGCTTATTCCTCTCCAGCCAAATTTTGATTTTATGGATACTTTTGAGCCTTTTCAGGGTAAGAAATATATGTATAATCAATTATTTTTTCTTTATCTGCCTGGGTTTGAGAGTCACCTTAGGCTTGTTTATCCCAGCGTTTGAACCTGATTGTTAATTTTCCTTTCAAAAGAAGAGCATTTAGACCTTAAGTCATTGAGTAATTAAAGATAGAATATCAGATGGGAAATGGAGAACTTGGAGAATCGCTGAGGTTTTCCCATTTAACACCTCTTAGTGATGAAGTGATTTGACACTTTGATTGCCTTGGAATATTTTCTGATACTCTCAAGAATTACATAGGACATTAAAATACTGCTGACAGCTTTGATGATTGTGGATCTTCATGGAAGTCACCAATCACAGCTGTTTGCAGTCCACATCAGATAACTGAGTTTTGTGGGACTGTATTAAGAACTGGCTCTTAGCTATCTGTTTGTAGGTGAGCCTTAAACAGCAGGCTGACTTTTGTATTATCTTCAGCTTGTGGGAAAGTTGAAGAAATATGCCCTGAACAGATCCATTCCTCTTGGAAATCAACAATTCATTGCTCAGTCAGTAGCAGTTGTACGAAGCAAAATTCTCATGGTTTCATTATTTGCTAAATAATACTGATATTCCTGTGTATTTTAGTATCTAACAATGCTGCACCTCGAGTATGCAAACTAGAAAGTTAATAGGTGACTTTTCATATTTCAGATTTATTCACGCTCAGTCGTTCCAGTAATTATTTCCCTTCTGTGTCTGCTGTCAGCTCAGCTACAACAGACAGCAGCAGCCATTCTTCCCAGGTAAGAGATACTCAGCATTGAAAAGAGCCTCATCTCAGGCACGTGTGTGCTGTGGAGACTCAGCCATGAGCCGTGTCCTTCTCAGAAGAAGTTCAGACAGGAGGTTCAGGGGTCGTGTCTGAATCTGTACTGTTTTTCTTCTCTGTCAGTCTTCTGTCCTGCCGTCGGGCTCACTGCCCAGCACACTTCCAGCAGGGAACATCAGTGATGGACAGATTGCTTCCTCAGTACCTGCTCCTGTCATTCCTGATGTTGGCACTGACCAGTGCCCCAGCATTAGGAGCGAGGGATCTTTCATCCAGCCAGCAGACTTCACTCCTGACTCGTCTCTCAGCGGGCCACAGACTTTCATGCCAGTGTTTCAGACTCCCTTGCCACTGCTTCAGCCTGCGACGCCACAGCACCAGTCTGCAGTGCCTCTGAACTCTAGCCTAAGCTCTCCACCAGCTGCATTTGCTGCACCAGAAACCCAGAAGTTTGACCTCTGTGAATCTACGGTCATCACCCACACAGCTTCTGCTACTTTGACCCACAATGCCCCCGCCACCACCTTCAGCCAGAGCCAGAACCTCGTCCTGGCCACGCAGCAGCCGGGCGTAGGAGTGCCTTGTAACCTGGCTTTCCAGACTGCTGTCCTGCAGGTGCAGCCCCGGCCCCAGATGCAGTCCCAGCTGACATTTGTACTCCCCAAGGCCGTTCCTCTGGCCAGTGCTGGGACAAGGCCCAGACAGTCACAAAAAACAGTGCCTGCTCCGAAGCCTGAAACAGTGTCCTTATTGTTAAAGAATGCCTTCATCACCCCAGGTGAGAAGCACTGGTGGGGTGATGTTTTTCTTTTCTGAGTGGGACTAGCAGGAAGGAGAGACCTTCTTGCTTTTCTTGGTTTGCATAAGTAAAAATAGAGCTTCCTGAGGGTGTCCATGGTACCCCTGGATTCACTGGTGTGTGGCTGCACTGTTCCGTGGGGTGCTCTGGAATGTTGCAGGGATTGGAAGCAGTTTGGTTGTGTGTGTGAAAAGCCAGCCTGTGAGAGGGGGGGATCTGTTTGCCACATTAGTTCTGTGCTGTACGTATGCCTCAGCACGTGGGAGGACTGGAGCTCTGTGCTCCTGCCCCATGGAAACCTTGGTTTTGATGTTTAATACTGCTCTGATTAACTCTGCCCTTCAGAGTGTTCAGCCACAGCAGAGCAGGAGATGGTAGGGAGATAGTGTGGGATGGAGAAAGGCAGATCTGTCCCTGTCATTGACTCATCTGGTTGGCCTCTAAAAGTCACTGTGCCTGCCTGTGCATCACCACACTCTGTACTACCAGTGTACCAGTAGAATCATAGAATCATTTTTGTTTGGAAGAGACCTTTAATTGTGTCCAGCCATTCTCCCAGCACTGCCATGTCCCTCAGCACCACATCTCCCTGGCTTGGAAACCTCTCCAGGGATGGGGACTCCACCACTGCCCTGGGCAGCCTGGCACAGCCCTGGACAACCCATCTGGGGAGAAATTGTTTCTAATATCCAACCTAAACCTCCCCTGGTGCAACCTGAGGCCATTTCCTCTTGTCCTGCTGCTTGTTCCTTGGGAGATGAGACCAATGCCCACCTGGCTCCAGCCTCCTTTCAGGAGAAGGTTGTTGAGAGTGAGAAGGTCTCCCCTTTGCTCCAGGCTCAGCACCCCCAGGTCCCTCAGCTGCTCCTCACCAGACTTGGGCTCTAGACCCTTCCCCAGCTTCACTGCCTTTTTTGAACACACTCCAGCACTGCAATGTCATTTTTGTAGCAAGGGCTTCAAAACTGAACCCAGGATTTGAGGTGCAGCCTCACCAGTGCAGAGGTAAAATCAGTGGTCTAGTGCTGGCCGCACTGTTTTTGTACTGATGTATGGCCTTTAGTAATAATTGGGATGTGTTCTGACTTCACCCTTAGGTGTGACTGAAACTCTTTGAGACCAGTGTTGGCTAGGGAGCAGCTGTTGAAGAGCACCACAGCAGTGGTCCAGGTGGAAGCATGGGATTGTGCCTCTGAGCCACCAGCAGTGCTCCCTAGCAGGCCCAGGGTGGTGAGGATCAGTCCATCCAGTGAGGAAGGACTAAGAACAGCTGGAGATCTTTGTCTCAAGCAATCTACAGACTTGAGATGCTGTCAGGAGCATGTGGTTTTTAGTTCAGAGTATGTTAGGCTGGGACCTCCAGGTTGGGTGTGATTTGGAGCCTCTGGCACTGCACAGGGCTAAGAATAGCAAGCGTGAGCAGAGAGCTCTGCCTGTGGTGGTTCTTGTGGGAAAGCTCAGGGCAGGACAGACAGTACATTTTTTCTTAGGCTTATTGCACACTGTTTTTAGACTTGTGCTGGCTGGGGGCCAGGTGACTTCAGCCACCTGAAATGTGCAGCAGCAATCCAGGAAAAGCCCTGCCTGGAGGAGTATTGTTAAAGAGGCTGTATGAAGGAGTAGGTGTGTCTGCCAGGGCCAGGCATGGGGGTTACACACACACAACAAAATTTAAAAAAAATCACTGTTCAGAAGTAGAACGTTGGATCTAATTCTGGCATGTCACTGGGAACAAGTTGGCCCATTATTAATAGCATTAAAGTGTTAATGGCAGTGTTTCTGTCTGTAGTAGGTTATAAAGCAAAAGTCCATGTACCTCCAGCAGTCAAGACACACATCTGTCACCTAGTAAAGCAGTGTAGGCAACTCTCATTTCCAGAAAGCCTTTGCTCCTAATTTTCTTAGTGCTTCTTGGGTTGTTCCTCACCCCATGTATCACTTTCCCACTACTTCATCAGTTATTTCTGGACCATCACAACAAAAGGCTTTGCTTCTCATCTAAATTTAAAGTTGCTGCTGTTTTTCAGTTCTGGCAGCAGCTTGTGCTGAGGGATCATGGTGCTCCTAAACTGCTGCGACATCGAGCTCAGAGGTCAAATCCAAGATTTTATGTAAAGGCTGGAGCTTTATTTTTGGCAATAGAATAAACATCAGTGCCTGTAACTAAGGCATTTATGCCTGTCATTTGTGTTCTGGACAAACAAATCATCTCATAACTATAAACCAAACTGCCTTATAGCCTGTGTTAGAGATGGGTGTGGAACATTTACTGCACTGTGATATAAGGACTCAAAAATTTGCACAGGTTTTCTCCTCAGGTGCAAGGCTTCACGTGGCAAAGAACTCTGCTATCAGCACTCCAGGGTAAATGTTCTGATTTTGAGAAGCAAGTCTGCAAAAGATGAGTGTGGAGGATAGAAAGTTTAAAGGGACATCTAAATATGTGGCAACTGTTAAGGTTACCCAAAGATGGAAGTCAGAAATACTGAGTTGTGTGGCAGGGTTAATGCACTGGTCAGAGCAGGCTCTGCAGCTCCATGTAGATGTCATGACTCCAGCTGAGCATTAGTGAACAGTGGAAGGGTTGTGCCTCCAGCTTTTTATCTGGGACTGCTCAGACCAAGAATGAACTCCCTGTATGGAGTGACAGTGCTCTCTGCCAGACAGACCCATGCAAGGGCTGGCACAAGCTTTGTGCAGTCCACAGGCCTCTCTAACATAGGCTGTGCAGAAAGTTCAGTTGATTCAGGTCACTGTTGTTAGTCACAGCAGGAGAGGGGACATGAGATATCCTGTGCTGTCTCCTGTTCTGTGTGTGTCCTTCAGCAGCATGATGCTAAACTGCAGAGGGGTAGCTTGGCAAGGACTGAGCTGTTGTGACACTTTTTGTACATCCTGACTTTAGTACTGATGAGAAATCCTAGTCATTTAACTTGAATAGGTAAGTTTTAAATAGAGTGAATTGTTCAAAGTCCATCACTTAACATTAGGATGCAGGGGCTACATCATGATGTTGTGTGGTTTGGTGTAGCCTGTTTGCTCAGCTTGACTTGGTGTGAGTAGCCAGATTTGCTGAAGCCTTAGGGCACAAGCTGTGAACTGTTGATGGGATGTGCTGAACTTTTACTTGGTTAAGCACAGCAGGGCCTCCAGAGCCAGCACAAATCAGAGGATAAGGAGCCTACAGTAGTTAGCAGAAGCTGCAGCTTGACAAGATAAGAGCAGTTAATCACCTACCTGGAGACAGAGAAGGAATCCAGTAAAGGGCCTCCAGAGCCAGCACAAACCAGAGGATAAGGAGCCTACAGCAGTCAGCAGAAGCTGCAGCTTGACGAGTTAAGAGCAGTTAATCACCTGCCTGGGGACAGAGAAGGAATCCAGTAGGGTGTTGGAAGATCCCAGACCAGAAATCACCATTGGACCAAAAGGCACCTGAAGAGCACATGAGGGGTGGGTGCATAGATTGTAAGGGTGTAGTTGCCCAGGGATTGCTTTGTTCAGGGTCACTCTTTGGAAGCACCCATTTTTCCACTCAATTTATTTTTTTTTTAAATGGAATCTGGTACCTGAGGTTCTGCTGTGAGAGACCTGGGGTCTGATCTGCAGGGGTAATTCTGTCTGAATGAATGTGTGGGGTTGTGTCCAGGAGTCAGCTGGGACACCCATGGAGTCACTGGATCCACCCTGTGTGGAGGGACTCAGGTCCTAGCAGTAAAGGCTCAAGTGGTGTGAAAGTGACTCCCAGAGTCTAAACTGGACACCCAGACAGTGTGAATTACCTCAGCAGTACAAAGGAGAGCTGAAGCCAAGGCAGGCTAGAATGAAATGGAGTAAGTTTGGTTTAGTTTTCTCAAAAAGCCTAAGGAAGCTGTGTCTGTGCATGATACTTCCTTAGTAACTGTAGAGGCTGGTCAGTCACGTCCTCTCAAAAGTCAGGGCAAGAGCAATGTCAGTGTTAATGCTGTGTCAACAACTGTACATCTGCATTGGTGAAATTGGACCTTAACAGATTTATGGTAGGACAGAACACTGTAGTGGTGAAGAGCAAGGATCTTGATTGTTGTCATGGGGGCAAGCC